TTGCCCACGCAATAGGCTTTCAGGCAAAAATATATCTATTTGTGACTTAATAAAAGCCCACTGTATGGGTGAAATGCTGTCAACAGAGGTTCCCATTATACTGCATTTGTCTTTTTTCACCATGTCAGTATTTTATACCATATGTCAACAAGGCTCCACTGCAAATTGCCATCAGGCCAAACATTCCCATACTCGCCTAATACTACTGAAACACTCAACTTATAGAAGTCTGTGATCAACAAAGTAGACAGTAAATGAAAAACGTGTGAACTTCAAGTCCATATACCAACATATGAGTGAACTAGCATGCAACCTACCAGTAGATCATGGAGAGGTGCATGACCAGGTGACTGACTCAGTAAAGCTAGGACAAAACCTCTCATTTTTACCTCTATCCAATCATGAAAGAAGCATGTTGTTGGCTGCAGATTCAGGCTCAAGCTCAACTTTCAGCTAAGCAAGAGGAAATGATAAGCAAACAAGTCCCCAGGCACAGCAAGCACACAGGAACAACTCTGTCAGCCTTAATGTCTGTGGCCACCCTGGCAAGGGTAGCTCCAACTATTACAGCAAATATAACATAATCCCACCACCAGTCAATGAGGGTAAATTATTGACATGGGTTGTGAACAGGACCAGATTAAGGGACAACTTGGCCTTGCACTGAGAATTTTCAAGAGGCTTTACAACACACACTAGAATTCAAAATAATAAAACAATGTTATGAATTCATAATTTTATTTTTTTAACACACCAGCAACCTCCCACCCAGGTAGTGTGATAACTAAACTTTTATAAATTTTGAGATACTGTACTTCAAAATGTCTCTGAAAAAAATTGCCTGAATTTTTATGGGGCCTATTCTGGCAGTGGGAGGAGCATCAACTCACTTAGTCTCCTTGATAGGGCCCAGGCTGTGGCACACGTCAAAATGCTTCATGGCCAGTAGCCTCTCAGACTATTAAACATTGTATCAGTGTTCCATATTTATCATCACAGATTTTAAATATAAATAAAATACTATATAGTACAGGGCAGAGGATCTAGTATATAAAGTATATACAAAGTATATATAGTATATATATGTACAGCCTCTCCTCACTTAGCGATGTACTCGTTTACCAGTGACTCGGACTTAAGACGGGCTCTCTGACCAGCATGCATACTTAAATAATGTATATTAGAACTGATTTCCTCTATTCTGTTTATTACAATATACAGTATACTACTGTATAAACATTAAAAAATATACTAAAAATGTTATAAATGGTGCAGAAGTGATATTAAAACAACATCAAAGTTGAGTGACACAAACGCATCACCATTATAGTATGTTCCTTGCTTAGTGATGAATTCATTTACCGACGTGGTCTTAGGAACGGAACTCCATCCTTAAGTGAGGAGAGGCTGTATATATAAAGTACGTATATACAAAGTATACTTTACATATAAAGTATAAAGTACAGTGGACCCCGGTTAACGATATTTTTTCACTCCATAAGTATGTTCAGATGCCAGTACTGACCGAATGTATTCCCATAAGGAATATTGTGAAGTAGATTAGTCCATTTCAGACCCCCAAACATACACGTACAAACGCACTTACATAAATACACTTACATAATTGGTCGCATTCGGAGGTAATCGTTATGCGGGGGTCCACTGTATATATAAAGTACAGTATATGCAAAGTATATATAAAGTACAGCCTCTCCTCGCTTAACGACGGAGTTCCGTTCCCAAGGCCACGTTGGTAAACGAATTCGCCACTAAGTGAGGAGCATACTACAATGATAGTGGGTTTGTATCAACCATCTCTGATATTGTTTTAATGTCACCTTTGCACCATTTATAACATTTCTAGTACATTTTTAAATGTTTATACAGCAGTTTAACCCTTTGGGGGTCGACAGGTCCTCTCAGACTTGTTCTCAGGGTCGGCCAAATTTCAAAAAAAAAAAATTATTTTTTCTTATGAAAAGATAGAGAATCTTTTCCCGATCATAATGACACCAAAAGTATGAAATTTGATGGAAAACTTACGGAATTACGCTCTCATGAAGTTAGCGGTCTCGACGATGTTTACGCCGGTGATTTTGCCCACTTTGAGCCCTATTTTCGGCCAATTCCAGTGTGCTAGTCAACAAAAATCATAACTATTTCGCTAAAACTCCATTTTTTCTATCGAATGAGTACAAGAAACCACCCATTTACCGATTTCAACTATCCAATAAAGTGGTCAGAATTTAGAAATTTTGCCAATTTCACACAAATTTCAAAAGATCCCAATTTCCGAATAGGGCCCAGAACAAACAAGAAAGACATTCCTGGAACTAAAATAACAAGTTCTCTGTTCGTTAGTCACATCCCCAGGCCCCTCTTATATTTCTTTGGCTTTCCACTTTGAATTTTTATTCTTAAAAAAAAAATAAGATTTAATGTTATGCAGACTGTTGCATTAGTGTAGAAATGGTATAAATAATATCAGTGCACTTGTGAAAGAATATTAGACTCACCAGTTGATGTGTATTGGACACGTGGCATGATTTGTTTACTTTTGAACTTCGGTAAAAATCGAACATTTCTGCTACTTTGAGCTCAATTTCAAGGTACTTTTCATTGTAAAACCAGTCAAAATCATCTCAATTTCTGTAATATGTCTTCCATTCTATAAAATGAGACCAAGAAAACTAGAATACAACAATAAATACCATACGAAAATACAGTGCAAAGTCGCTGTTTTAATCAAAAAACATGGTCAAATTTTTTTTTCTCATTACGCACTGTGTGCTGCAGGATTTTTTTTATACTGCGCACATTGACCACATAGATCCATTCTTACATATGTAGGCCTACCAGCTTTCTCTCACTAGATTTGAGGGCGCTAGAATTTAGGCGTACTAGTACGTCAAAAACCCTGGGTTGTAAGACGTACTAGTATAGTGGACCCCCGCATAACGATGGCATCACATAGCGATTATTTCGCATACCGCTTACTTTAATCGCAAAATTTTTGCCGCGCATACCGATTAAAAACCCGCTCACCGATTTTCGTCCGAGACGCGTCCAATGTGCGCCCTCACCCAGCCTCACATGTGCCGCCCGTGCCATTGTTTACCAGCCAGCCTCCGCGCTAACATCCAAGCATACACTCGGAATATTTCGTATTATTACAGTGTTTTCGGTGGTGTTTCTGGAAAATAAGTGACCATGGGCCCCAAGAAAGCTTCTAGTGCCAACCGTACACCAATAAGGGTAAGGATACCCATTGAAATGAAGAAAGAGATCATTGATAAGTATGAAAGTGGAGTGCGTATTGCCGACCTAGTCAAGTTGTACAAGAAACCCCAATCAACCATCGCTACTATTGTGGGCACCAAAAAGACAATCAAGGAAGCTGTTGTTGCCAAGGTTTAACTGTGTTTTCGAAACAAAGATCGCAAGTGATGGAAGATGTTGAGAGGACTCTTATTGGTGTGGATAAATGAAAAACAGCTAGCAGGAGATAGCGTCTCTCAAGCGATCATATGTGAAAAGGCTAGGAAGTTGCATGAGGATTTAATTAAAAAAAGGCCTGCAACTAGTGATGATGTGAGTGAATTTAAGGCCAGCAAAGGTTGGTTTGAGAGATTTAAGAAGCGTAGTGGCATCCATAGTGTGATAAGGCAGGGTGAGGCTGCCAGTTCGGACCACAAAGCAGCTGAAAAATATGTGCAGGAATTCAAGGAGTATATAGAAACTGAAGGACTGAAACCTGAACAAGTGTTTAATTGTGATGAAACAGGCCTGTTCTGGAAGAAAAAATGCCAAGCAGGACCTACATTCTCAGGAGGAAAAGGCACTCCCAGGACATAAGCCTATGAAAGACAGGCTTACTCTTCTCATGTGTGCCAATGCTACTGGTGATTGCAAAGTGAAGCCTTTATTAGTGTATCACTCTGAAACTCCCAGAGCGTTCAGGCAAAAGAATGTCCTCAAGGATAATTTGTGTGTGCTGTGGAGGGCAAACAGTAAGGCATGGGTCACTAGGGAATTTTTCTAAAAATGGTTACACCATGAAATTTGCCCCAATGTGAAAGATTTACCTAACTGAAAAGAAATTAGAACTTAAGTGCCTCCTGGTGTTAGACAATGCCCCTGGTCATCCTACAGACGTGGCAGAGCGACTTTATGGGGACATGAAATTCATTAACATCAAGTTTTTGCCTCCTAATACCACTCCTCTCCTGCAGCCCATGGACCAGCAGGTTATTTCCAACTTCAAGAAACTGTACACAAAAGCTCTGTTTGAAAGGTGCTTTGTAATGACCTCAAAAAACTCAACTGACTCTAAGAGAGTTTTGGAGAGATCACTTTAATATCCTCAATTGTGTAAACCTTATAGGTAAGGCTTGGGAGGAAGTGACTAAGAGGACCTTGAACTCTGCTTGGAAGAAACTGTGGCCAGAATGTGTAGACAAAAGGGATTTTGAAGGGTTTGAGGCAAACCCCTGAGAGGATTATGCCAGTTGAGGAATCCATTGTGGCATTGGGAAAGTCCTTGGGGTTGGAGGTTAGTGGGGAGGATGTGGAAGAGTTGGTGGAGGAGGACAATGAAGAACTAACCACTGATGAGCTGATAGATCAACTTCAAGAGCAAGAGGCCAGACCTGGGGAAACTGGTTCAGAGGAGGGGAGGAGAAATTGAAAAAGTTGCCTACTACAAAGATAAAGGAAATCTGTGCAAAGTGGCTTGAAGTGCAAACCTTCATGGATGAAAATCACCCTCACACAGCTATTGAAAAGCCGTGCTGGTGACTATTACACTGACAATGTTGTGAAACACTTTAGGGAAGTGATAAAGGAACGAGAGGTACAGGCCACTATGGACAGATATCTTGTGCGAAAGAAGTCCAGTGACTCTGAAGCTGGCCTAGTGGCATTAAAAAAAGAAGGGAAGTAACCCAGAAAAGGACTTACTACCTCAAGTCCTAATGGAAGGGGATTCCCCTTCTAAACACTAACACACTCTCTCCCCTCCTCCCATCCCATCAATCATCACCAGATCTTCAATAAAAGTAAGTGTCATGTAAGTGTGCATGCCTTTTTCAGTTTGTGTGTATTAAAATTAATATTTCATGTGGTAAAAAAATTTTTTTTTTCATACTTTTGGGTGTCTTGCACGGATTAATTTTATTTCCATTATTTCTTATGGGGAAAATTCATTCACATAACGATTATTTCGCATAACAATTACCCCTCTTGCACGGATTAAAATCGTTAACCGGGGGTCCACTGTACGTCCGAAACCCCCAAAGGGTTAATGCATATTAAAATAAACAGAATAGAGGAATTCAGTTCTAATATATGTACATTATTTAGGTATGCATACTGATCAGAGAGCCCGTCATAAGTCTGAGTTGTCAATAAACGAGTACGTCGCTAAGTGAGAAGAGGCTGTATATACAAAGTAGTATATACAAAAGCTATCTCAAGTCTACAGCTTTTACATCAGTGTTCACATATTTTGACATTAAAATTATATTTCATCTCTCAATTTGTTCAAGTCATATTGCATGTCAAGTAAGTAAGTAAGTTTATTCAGGTATACACAAATATTATATAAAGTATTATATAGTAATGAGCTGCATAACAATGTGGATGAGCAGAAATTTTTATACAAGTCATCATCACACTCTGCAAGACTTGTAAAATAAATATGGCATTACACAAACTCAGACTCAAACTGGTAAATGCATGAATCTTCTGAACATCTACACATGTTCTCTGTCTGCTACAGGTGTTCACTACTTGCCAACTGTTGATCAAAATACCCAGGTTCAAAAAGATGCATCTTGCCTCTCTTGAGGCACCCTGAAGATCTTCATTATACAATGTTCTAAACTATCTACCCTACCACAAGCAATGGCAATATGTTAACCCTCCCCACAACATGACCTGAAGGAATTCCTTACATAACTAAAAATATTCATCACTGACACTTCTTAACCTTACGATGTTTACCAACACCAAAAACTGTCTTGATGTTCAATATCTGCTTACATTTACCAACCACGTGTGGGTCTCCACTCTTCTACCACGGTGTCGCCTTCGACCACATAATACACAGAGTGCATGGCTGCTGTGGCGCATGACTGAGGAGGTTACACATATCCAGTTATAAGTAATACAGTACAAACTATGCTGAATATTTGCCAAAATGAATCATTGATAAAACATGCAAATATAATTAATCTTAACAAAGCCACTAAAACAACAGTACAAATATGTACAAATTTATATTAGTACAGTGGAACCCCGAGTTTTGAACTGCTCCCAACTCGACCAATTATGCAAGTGTATTTTTGTAAGTGCTTTTGTAAGTGTATTTTTGGGGGTCTGAAACGGACTAATCTAATTTACATTATTCCTTATGGGAATAAATTTGTTTGGTAATGGCACTCGAACAGCCTTCTGGAATGAAGGAAGTTCGAAACTCGGGGTTCCATTGTATTTTCAAAATATAAATTCAAAGTGGAAGTGGGAAATATGGTGCCTGCACTCTTGAGGGGTGGAGATGTTGCAGTTCAGATTCATATTAATTGTAATATCTGTGCATGTCTGGCTAGAAAGCTATTGAATGAATGATGGTGAATGTGTTTCCTTGGTGGGAGAAGGCTGGTGCATTATAAAAATAAAAAAAATTCTTATACAGAGAAATATGTTTATTGTATTTACTGATACTTAAGAAGGGCTTATTGTGCTCTGAGCACCTCTGCAAAAACAGTGATTATGTTTGAGTGAGGTGAAAGTGTTGAATGATGATGAAAGTATTTTCTTTTTGGGGATTTTCTTTCTTTTTGGGTCACCCTGCCTCGGTGGGAGACGGTCGACTTGTTAAAACCTGCCTCGGTGGGAGACGGTCGACTTGTTAAAAAAAAAAAAAAAAAGTTGGGTTGTAAATAAAATGAATGTTTCTGTGCTATTGAGAAGTGTGGGTTCAAAAGATAATAATTCTGATATAAAAGGGTAAGTAGTTACAATTAGTTTGCAAATGGTACAATGCTATTGGGACACTTAGAAAAGAAGCTACAGAAATTGAGTAAGACTAAAAAGGCACAATACCATGATTGGAACAATACACAAATAGCCTGCCCAAAAGAGAATGAAACATATAATAATGGTCCAACTTAGTTGGACCCTCTCAAATTCATCCACCAACCTTTGCAACTTCTCTTTAGAATCTCCCAACAGCACAGTGTCATCAGCAAAAAAAAGTCACTATGACAACTCCCACACCCTAGAATTCACTTCTTTTGCAACCCCATCTATAAATATATTAAACTACCATGGTGACCACACAGTTTCTTGTCTAAGGCCTATTTTTACTGTATATACATATACTAAGGTTGGAGGGAGGGGGTAAAGGAGGTTTTGTGGGTGAGGGGCTTGGACTTCCAGAAAGCGTGCATGAGCGTGTTAGATAGGAGTGAATGGAAACGAATGGTATTTAGGACCTGACGAGCTGTTGGAGTGTGAGCAGGGTAATATTTAGTGAAGGGATTCAGGGAAACCAGTTATTTTTATATAGCCAGACTTGAGTCCTGGAAATGGGAAGTACAATGCCTGCACTTTAAAGGAGGGGTTTGGGATATTGGCAGTTTGGAGGGGTATGTTGTGTATCATTATACATATCTGCTTCTAAACTGTTGTATTCTGAGCATCTCTGCAAAAACAGTGATTATGTGTGAATGAGGTGAAAGTGTTGAATGATTATGAAAGTATTTTTTGGGGGGGATTTCTTTCTTTTTGAGTCACCCTGCTTCAGTGGGAGACAGCCGATTTGTTAAAAAAAAAAAAAATACATATACTATACATTTACGTTAGAATTACCAAAATTTAAGAGCTAGAGAGATTCTTGCCCTGGATAGAAATAGCAATAGAGGAATACAAAGTCAAGATACCTGTATTTTCATTAATACATTACAGAAAAACATCAATTAAAACATGGGTTACATTCCTGAAAATCAAGACTAATCAAAGAGTTAAATGATACAAAGAACTTAGGGAAAAAGTATGGCTATGTTTCATATACTTCCCAATCTGCCAAACAAACTTAAAAAAAATTCTACTACAGTAATTTAACTTACCACACATTCCATTTGTTGTTGCTTGTTGATATGGAATTGCATGCAGAAGGCTGACGTGGCAATGCTGGACCGAGGTAGATGACTGTGTTTCTTAAGTAATGTTGTTGTGAATAGCTCAGGTTCTTGTGTTTAGGTGGATGCTGAGTTGTCAGTACGTAGTTGGTTATACCAGAGTGCCTGTTTTACTCTACAATATATCCTTGACTTAACAGACTAATAGAAGTGGGTGGATAGAGAGACGAGTGTTTTGCCATAATTGTAACAATTCTGTAACCAACAGACTTTGAATGTTGTTTCTTAATCACATGGGCATGTGGATTTTGTCCTGTGTTTCCAAAGACTTTAAACTGACGGTTTACTGCTTGCTAATGTAAATTTTTGATGACATATGCTTCTAACATAGCTCTGTCTCATTATCATTAAGCGCTCCCTCAGGACTGCAACCATTCTCCAAAATAATTTGTGCAAATCAAGTAGGAAAATTTCCCACAGCAGCATGATCAGCTGGTGAACTCACCATTATACTTTATTTTTAAAGCTGACAGCCTTTTAGTACTTTTATATCATTCAGTACTAAATGTACTCCATTACAGAAGGATCTCTTTCTTACACACACTTTTACAGTAGGATAGGGCTTTGTGCCTTATAATGTGATCATTAAGCATGGTCCCTTTCCTTGTTATCTCCTCTTATTTAGAAGAAGGTCGATGTGGCCCTGCTGGGCTGACGTGGATGGCTGTTCCTTAATGTTGTTTGTCATTCTTTTCAGTATATTATTATCTGCAATGTTGACTGCACAAATTCTCATTTTCAAAATCAAATCAAATCAAAATGTTTATTTCCTTGTAAAGCTTACAATGTGTGGTTTACATGTTATAAAATATTAATTACATAAAAGGTCACTAGTATACCTAGGCATTTCGGGCAGACTAATACTAATTCTTACTCTATATTGATATAGGTTATGTAACAGTACATTTGAACATACATTATTAGATAAACACATAATTAGATACATACCTAATTAGGCACATACACATAATTAGATACATACCTAATTAGGCATACCTAATTAGATTACAATACTGAGGTAGTACAAATCATATAATAATATCACAAATGGTAAATTTAGTATTGAGATGGGATTTGTTTGTTTCTATTAAAGCTCATATATTATAAGCATATCTTAGGTAGACTTAGGACTAACTTAAGATTTAATAGGCAATAGTTATATTAGGAATTTTATGTTTACAGTCGTTTGGATGAGTGTAAGTGTAAATTAGGCAGAATTACAGATAACAAGAGTAGGACTATTATTGTTTTGGATGTGTTCGTGATACAAAAAAAAAAAAATTAGGTGATTTTCATTTGGTTATCTAATGATGGGGTGTGTTAGGGAAATAAGATGTTTTTTAATGGTAGTTTTGAAAATGGTGGTCGAGTCTGCAGTTCTAAAGTTTTCAGGCAGGGAGTTCCAGACTTTTGGCATTTTTATGTACAACAAATTTTTGTAGAGGTTTAGCTGGACACAAGGAATGTCATAGAGGTTTTTGTGTCTGGTATGTCTATGGGTGCTGTTGCAACTATCAAGAAAGTGTTTTAGTTCAGGGTCAATATTAGAATTCATGGTTCTGTAAATGTAGGTTGCACAGTAGTATGGGGGTGTGTTGCTTAGGATTGGATTGCGTGATAATTCTTATTACGGCTTTATGTTGGGTTATTATTGGCTTAAGGTGGGTTGCTGCTGTTGAACTCCAGGCACAAATAGCAGAGGTGAGGTAGGGATAGATGAGTGAATAGTAGAGTGTGAGTAGGGCTGATTGTAGTACGTAGTAACGTATCTTAGAGAGGATCCCAACCGTTTTGATACTTTTTTTGTTACGCGTTGGACATGGGTGCTGAATTTCAGGTTTCTGTCAAGGTGTAGGCCCAGAAATTTGCCCTCATTATGTTTAGCAATAAGAGTGTTGTCAATCATAATGTTCAGTTGTGCAACACTTGCTCTGTTACAAAACATAATATAGAAAGTTTTGTCAGCATTAAGTGTAAGTTTATTGGCAGTCATCCAGGTCAATATTTTTAGTAGCTCTTCGTTAACAATGGTGTTGAGTGAGGCAAGATTTGGGTTGGAGATGACATAAGTCATGTTGTCAGCAAAGAGAATACTGTTTCTAATTATACAAAAGGATGATTCTCTCAGAGCAAAAGAATGGGCAGTTTAAATCACATATGCACAGGATGTCTAAAACTTCCACTCTCCTGGGACCTCCAGCATCACTAGTATTCCTCTTGGGTGTCATGGTTAATATCCAGAGAAGAATTGGGGTGATAAAATCTCTCCTTCCTACACAAACCACCCATAAAGCATGGGTGGTTTGTGCAGGAAGGAGAGGAGCTGCCCCTCTCCAAACATTAGACTCATAGGCTAAATATATTGCAGGGTACAAAACCCACAATGTGAACTATCAATAATTTGAGCAGAAATTTATCTTTCTGCCCTTCATTAAGTGTAATAGCAAGTGTTTTTACATGTTATGATTTCTTGGCTGCATTTTTTCCAGTTATTACTGCATTTTTCCATAATTCTTACAACATTTTTTTCAACAGTTGTTAGACAAAACTTGCACAGCCCAATTTAGCATTAATCAATGGTTCAAATGTTCAAAGGACATAGCACTTTCACAACACATGTACTTTCAACATTAACCAGCGTCTGAGAGAGCCAGTATTATACTCCAACCTTGCATTATTTTTATCCATAGTCACAGTCACATCCCACAAAGAGAAGGCTTAAAAAGGAGGTGGAGCTTTCTGTGGTAAAAAGCTATCAATAAGTTACCTAATCCTTAAAATATTATATGAGACCAAGAAGACAAATCAGTAGGAGACTGAGAAATGAACATACATGCCATGGAAGAATGTAGAGGAGGGAGTTAACTGGGTAGAGCTATAGTCCAGCTTGCCCTCCAATGATTCCACGAAGCCAATCTCTTGTGTCATTTTGCACAACCTGGTTCACAGAAAAAGACAATATTTTACATGAATATACTGTACTGTACACTGCAGTATATGATTTTTTTTTTAATAGTGGTACTAACTGCTTACCTGTGGCTAGCTCAAGATATTTCTTCTACTATCGCAGCTCAGCCTGATAAGGTTTCTTATTGACTAACAAATTAGGAGGCTCATATCTTAATTGTTGAGCCTTTAGTTTACAACAAAAGAACCTGGGTTGAATCCTGGGGTTGTTGGAGATATTAGATGTGTTTCCCTACACCTGATACCCCATTCACCTAGCAGTAAATATGTACAATACCTGAGTTTTAGCTAAATGTTGCAGATTGTATCCCATGGGGTAACAGGATAACTTTGGGATGGCTGGGCTTTGAAATGAGCTCAGGTGGTGGAAAAGCTCTTAGCCTGCATAATTAAACAATGTTTAAAAGAAAATAATCCAAGCTGCTATTTCTTGCAGCCATAAAATTCATCTCCATGGAGAAGTGGAACAGAATTCTTCCTCCGTAAGCCATGCATGTCATAAGAGGCAACTAAAATGCCAGGAGCAAGGGACTAATAACCCCTTCTCCAGTATAAAATATTAAATTGAAAAAGAGAAACTTTTGTTTTTCTTTTGGGCCACCCTCCTTCAGCGGGATATGGCTGGTTTGTTGAAAGAAGAAGAAGAATACAGGAGGGCCCCACTTATCCAGTAGGTTATGTTTTGGGGTACTGCTGTAGAGTGAAGATCTTTGTAAAGTGAAACATAGCCTTTTTTCACTTTCAAATGCATATAAAAGCCTGATAAATGAGCAACAGAGCTAGGCTTAAAAAATACATATACAATACACACATTACAGTGGACCCTCAATTAATGCCTCTAATCCATTCCAGAGAGCTAGCCTTTAACTGATTTAGCCTTTAACCAGATTAATTTTCCCCATAAGAAATAATGGAAATCCAATTAATCCATTCCAGACACCCAAAAGTATTAAACTAAATTTTTTTTTACATGAAATAAACATTTCCCTACACAGCAACGAATGATACATGCAAAATAAACAATAATTAAATGCCACTTACTTTTATTGTGGAGTTGTTGATGAGTGATGTGCCAGCAGCAGGGGAGATTCAAGTTTCCTACTGTTTGGAAGGGAAATCCCCTTCCACAAAGACTTCAGGTAACAAGTCCTTTCTGGGGTTACCTCCCTTCTTGGTTTTTTAATGCCACTAGGACCAGCTTGAGAATCACTGGACCCCTGTCTCACCAAAAATCTTTCCAGAGAGCTGTTTCTCACGTGCCCTTAGGATTTCCCTAAAATAGGACATAAGTGTGTCACTGTACATGTTGCCAATATGGCTTGCAACAGTTGTGACAGGATAAAATTCATCCATAAATTTGTAAACATGCACACATTTCCTTAATCCCTGACGAAGGCAACTTCCTCCATCTCTCTTCCTCCTGCTCTGAAGCACATTCCTGAGCTGTGATCTGTTGCTGTTGCACATCAAGCTCTTGCAGGTCTGCAGTGGTTAGTTTCATCGTCGTTCTGCACCAACTCTTCCACATCCTCACCACAAACCTCCACCCCCATCGACTTCCCCAATGACACAATAGCTTCCACTACTGGCCTAGGCTCCTGAGGGTTAGCCCTAAACCCTTCAAAATCCCTCTCTGTACACACTGTGGCCACAGTTTCCTCCAAGCAAGTTCAAAATCCTGCCAGTCACTCCCTCCCAAGCCTTACATATAAGGTTTAATGCGAATGAGGATACTGAAGTGATTTTCCAAAACTCTCTTAGGGTCAGTTCAGTGTCTGAGGTCACTTCAAAACACTTTTGAAACACTGCTTTTGTGTAGAGTTTCTTGAAGTTTGAAATGACCTGCTGGTCCATGGGCTAGAGGAGAGGAATTGTATTAGGAGGCAAAAATTTAACTTTAACAAAGCTAAACTGCCCTGCAATTTGCTCTTGCAAGTCATGAGGATGAGCAGCAGCATTGTCCATTACCAGGAGGCACTTGAGTGACAATTTCTTTTCCAGGAGGTAATTTTTCACAGTGGGGCCTAACAAACCATAAAACCAGTCCATGAAAATTTCCCTAATGACCCATGCCTTAGTGTTTGATCTCCACATCACACACAAATTACCCTTGATGATATTGTTTTTCTTGAACACTCTGGGAGTTTCATTGATACACCACTAAAGGCTTCACTTTGCAATCACCACTAGCATTACTACACAACATTAATGTCAGCCCTTCTTTCATAGGCTATGTCCTGGGAGTGCCTTTTCCTCCTGAGTAATGTAGGTCCTGTTTGGCATTTTCTTCCAAAACAGGCCTGTTTCGTCACAATTAAACACCTGTTCGGGTTTTAAGTTTGCAGTCTCTATGTACTCCTTAAAGTCCTGCACATATTTTTCAGCTGCTTTTTTGTTTGAACTGGCAGCCTCGCCATGCCTTATTACACTGTGTATGCCACTACAATTCTTAAATCTCTCAAACCAGCCTTTGCTGGCCTTAAATTCATCAGCAGCAGCACTATTTGGAGGCATTTTCTTAATGAGATCATCATGCAACTGCCTTGCCTTTTCACATATTATTGACTGAGATATACTATCCCCTGATAATTGTTTCTCGTTTACCCACACCAATAACAGTCTCTCTACCTCTTCAATTATTTGCGGTCTCCATTTTGAAAACAAACTTGCACCTTTTGCAACAACAGCTTCCTTGACTGCCTTTCTGTTCGCCAAGATAGTACTGATGGTTGAATTGGGTTTGTTGTATAGCCTTTCCAACTCGGACATACGCACTCCACCTTCGTATTTTTCAATTATCTCTTTCTTCATTTCCATCGTAATTCTCACCCTTTTTAACACATGCTTGGCACCAGAAGCTTTCTTGGGGCCCATTGTGGCTTATTTAGCAGTTACAAGCACTAAAAACAGTGGAATAATCCAAAATATCCAGGAGGTACACGTGGAATCGACCGCAACAGCTTGTAAACAATGGTACACCAAGTCTTGGAGTGGCTGGGCCCGCTCAGGCCACGCTTCCACTGCATGGACACGTTCCGGACGAATGCTGTTAGACAACTTTTTCGCCGTTGGTAGAGCCATTTTGTTTTATGCCAAAGAGCACCGTAAGACAAATTTGCCATTACTTGATGCCGCCGTTGGGTGGGGGTCCACTGTATGTATGTATGTATGTATGTATGTATGTATGTATGTATGTATGTATGTATGTATGTATGTATGTATGAATGTATGTATGTATGTATGTATGTATGTATGTATGTATGTATGTATGTATTCTTCTTTCAATGTACCAGCCATATCCCACCAAGGCGGGGTGGCCCAAAAGGAAAAACGAAAGTTTCTCCGTTCAAATTTAGTAATATATACAGGAGAAGGGGGTTACTAGCCCCTTGCTCCCGGCATTTTAGTCGCCTCTTACAACACGCATGGCTTACGGAGGAAGAATTCTCTTCCACTTCCCCATGGAGATAAGAGGAAATAAACAAGAACAAGAACTAGTAAGAAAATAGAAGAAAACCCAGAGGGGTGTGTATATATGTGCTTGTACATGTATGTGTAGTGTGACCTAAGCGAAGTAGAAGTAGCAAGACGTACCTGAAATCTTGCATGTTTATGAGACAAACAAAAGACACCAGCAATCCTACCATCATGTAAAACAATTACAGGTTTTCGTTGTACACTCACTTGGCAGGACGGTAGTACCTCCCTGGGCGGTTGCTGTTTACCAACGTACTACCTAGGATATGTATATATATATTTATTTATTTATTTATTTTCGACAAGTCAGCCATCTCCTACCAAGGCAGGGTGACCCAAACAGAAAGAAAATCCCCAAAAAGAAAATACTTTCATCATCATTCAACACTTTCACCTCACTCATACATAATCACTATCTTTGGAGAGGCACTCAGATATGACAGTTTAAAAGTCAACCTCCAAACTGCCAATATCCCAAACCCCCTCCTTTAAAGTGCAGGCATTGCACTTCCCATTCCAGGACTCAAATCCGGGTAACTGGTTTCCCTGAATCCCTTCACAAAATACTGCGTGTGTAGCAACCTAAGTGTAAGTAGAAGAAGCAAGATGTACCTGAAATCTTGAGTCTACGAGACAGAAAAAAGACACTAGCAATTTTACTATCATGTAAAATAATTACAGATTTCCATTTTACACTCACTTGGCAGGACAGTATCACCTCTTTGGGTGGTTGCTGTCTACCAGCCTACTACTTAGAATTAATACTTATGTGATCTTTTATTTTTAAAAGGGTGTACTGGTCAACCAGTGGAAGGCCTCAGTCATAAAAATCCTAATCATATATTTTTCAGAGAAAATACATTTGTTACAAAGATTTCCTACATGGAAAAATCCAGAGTTATGCAAAGCATTCCAGTTAGTGGTCATCATAACTAAAACATGTGAGAGGAAGCACTTGTCCTGGTTCATAACTAATAAAATACCCCCACCATGGGTAACACTGAGCTGGGGTCATTCAGCACTGCACACCAGAGGTAAATATAGTGATGGGTATGTTGAGGTTAAGAAAGCCATCAGAAAAAACATTAGGTCTAAGATGTGTTTTGTTGATGAAGGAAATAGTCTCAGATTATTTTTTACATTTGAGACCACGTGGTCTCATGACTGCCGTACCTTTAACCACTTGCATACAACTTTTAGAAATCAGTGAAAAGTGATAATAATTGCAATTTTTTTTGTGGTGATATTATACTGTAAAATAATATTAATGTTATCACTGCTATTATTTCTTAGTTTATGAGCTTTGTAATAGTTTTTGGGTAATTACTGAAGTATTTTAGTACTAGTGTGACCCGTTTAACCCTTTGAGGGTCCATCCTGTAGTTCTATGACTCTGAAGTCAGGGTCTAAGTCGTAGTACTACATCATGAGCTCAGCTCACTCAGATAAGCTGTGAGCAGTAAATTTGGGCATAGATATGAGAGAATACATCTATGTGGTATGTGTGCACCACATAAAACAAATCCTGCAGCATGCAGTGCATAATGCAAAAAAACTGTGACTGTGTTTTTGGATTAAAACAGGGAATTCGCAGTGCATTTTCATATGGTTTTCACAGTTGTAATCACAGTTTCTTGGTCTCATTTGATAGAATGGAAGATATATTACAGAAATAGAGATGATTTTGATTGGTTTTCGTAACAAAAATAGCTAGAAATTAAGCTCAGAAGAGTGGAAATGTTCGATTTTTGCCAATGTTCAAGAGTAAACAAATCACATCACTCAACCAATATAAGTCAGTTGGTGGGTCTAATGTGCATTCACAAATGCACTGATATTATTTATATAATTATTACAATATTGCATAACAGTAAACCTGTTTTTTTTTTGGATGTGAATAAAAATTCTTCATGTGAATAAAAAATCAAAATGAAATTCATCTGTAAAGCCTGGAAACATAACTGACAAACAGAGGAAATGTTATTTTAGTACCAGGAATGCCTGCATTGTTTATTCTGAACCCTATTTTGAAACTGGAATATTCTGAACTTTGTGTGAAACTGGCTAAATTACCAATTTCCGATCACTTTATTGGGTAGTTGAAATAGTTGATTGGGCAATTTCTTGTGCTCAGCAGATAAAATGGAACACATACTAGCAAATTAGCTAAGAATTTGATCTAATGGAACAATGTAATTGGTTGAAAATAGGACTCAAAGTGGGTAAAATCGCCGATGCGTAAATATTGCTGACACAGCAAATTTCGTGGGAGCGTAATTTTGTCAACTTTTTATCAAATTTCATACTTTTAGTTTTATTACCTTCAGAAAAAGATTCTCTACCATTTTATAAGTAATAATAATAAATTTTTGGGGGGGGAAAACTGTTGGATCCTATGGGGAATTTTCAGACTGGGGGTCTGGACCCTCAAAGGGTTAATTTACCAAATATGTTTTTAGGAATAAGGAGAGATTTAATGCAGTATGATTCACTAATTATACACTATGTAGCATCACAACATTTGGGATATAAATGCCAATACTGCTATACAGGACGATTTTTTAAAGAAAAAACAAAGTCTAGAAACATACTTGAGGTTGGGATGGCCACGGATGACACCGTAGCCACTTGCCATTTCACCGTACCCTTGCTTTGTGAGGCCAGTGAAACCACAGTCTATTAACATCTGAAAATAATTATTATTAGTAGGTTGGTAGACAGCAACAACCCAGGGAAGTACTACCGTCCTGCCAAGTGAGTGTAAAACGAAAGCCTGTAATTGTTTTAAATGATGGTAGGATTGCTGGTGTCTTTTGTCTGTCTCATAAATATGCAAGATTACAGGTATGTCTTGCTACTTCTACTTACACTTAGGTCACACTACACATACATGTACACGTTTATTTATACACACTCATCTGAGTTTTCTTTGATTTTATCTTAATAGTTCTTGGTCTTATTACTTTTCCTTTTATATCCATGGGGAAGTGGAATAAGAATCTCTCCTCCATAAGCCATGCGTGTTGTAAAAGTCAACTAAAATGCCGGGAACAATGGGCTAGTAACCCCTTTTCCTGTAAAGATTACTAAAAAGAATAAGAAGAAGAAAATTGTCAAAGTGGGAAGTCTGAATGTGCGTGGATTGTTGTGCAGATGATAAGAAAGAGATGATTGTGGAAGTTATGAATTGAGAAGAAGCTGGATGTCCTGGCTTTAAGTGAAACAAAGCTGAAGGGGGGGGAGAGTTTCAATGGAGAGGAATAAATGGGATTAGGTCAGGGGTTTCAAATAGAGTTAGAGCTAAAGAAGGGAGTAGCAATAATGTTGAAGGATAAGCATGGCAGGAAAAGAGGGACTATAAATGTATTAATTAAAGGGATTATGGGGAGTAAAATAAAGATTGGATTGAAAAGTGGTTATAATAAGCGTGCATGCACCTGGAGAAGAGAGAAGTGTAGAGGAGAGAGAGAGATTTGGAATGTTGAGTGAATGCGTGGGGAGTTGGAGTTTTGAATCAAAGTGTGAGAGTAAAAGGTGGTTGGGGATTTCAATGCAAAAGTGGGTAAAAATGTTATGGAGGCAGTAGTAGGTAAATCTGGGGTGCCAGGGAAAATGTAAATGGAGAGCCTTTAATTGAGCTATGTGTAAAAGAGATTTGGAAATAAGTAATACATATTTTATGAAAAAGTGGATAAATAAATTACAAGGTATGATGTAGCATGTAATGAAAGTAGTTTATTAGATTATGTATTGGTGGATAAAAGGTTGATGGGTAGGCTCCAGGATGTACATGTTTATAGAGGGCAACTGATATATCAATCATTATTTAGTTTTAGCTACAGTTAAGAGTAAGAGGTAGATGGGAAAAGAGGAAGGGGGCAACAACAAGTAAGAGGGAGGTGAAAGTGTATAAACTAAGGGAGGAGGAAGTTCGGGTGAGATATAACGACTATTGGCAGAAAGGTGGGGTAGTGCAATGATGAGTATGGGGGGGGGGGGTTGATGAGGGTTGGAATAGTTTTAAAAAATGCAGTATTAGAATGTGGGCAGAAGTTTTTCGGTTATAGAAGGGTGGGGGCAGGAGGGAAAAAGGAGTGATTGGTGGAAAAGATGAAGTAAAGGGTTGATAAAAGAGAAAAAGGTAGCTTATGAGAGGTTTTTACAAAGCAGAAGTGTTAAAGAAGAGCAGAGTATATGGAGAGTAAAAGAAAGGTGAAGAGAGTGGTGAAGAGTGCAAAAGGAAACAGATTAGAGTGGGAGAGGCACTGTCAAGAAAATTAATGAAAATAAGAAAAAATTTTGAGTGAGTTAAACAAGTTAAGAAAGCCTAGGAAAGTATGGATTGTTAGTTAAAAACAAGTAGGGGAGTTAGTAGATGGGGAGATGGAGGTATTAGGTAGATGGCGAGAATATTTTGAGGAGCTTTTAAATGTTAAGGAAGAAAGAGAGGCGGGAATTTCATGCACTGGTCAGGGAGGAAACCGTCCCTTTTTGGAGTGAAGAAGAGCAGAATGTAAGTGTGGGGGAGGTACCCTGAGGCATTACGTAGAATGAAAGGGGGTAAAAGCAGCTGGAGCTGATGGATCATGACAGAAATGTTAAAAGCAGGGGGGATAATTTGGAGGGTTGGACTTTTTTTTAAAAAATGTATAAAAGAGGGAAGGTCCCTAGGGATTGGGGGAGGATGTTTCCCTTTATATAAAGGGAAAGGGGACAAAAGAGTTGTAAAAATTATAGGGGAAAAAGTTTACTGAATATCCCAGGAAAAGTGCACGGTAGGGTTATTTTAAAAGAATTAGGGAAAAGACGAATGTGGATTGAGGAGAAAAGGAGGTTTCAGAGGGGGTGGGGGATGTGTGATCAAGTGTTTAATTGAAGCATTAGTAAACAGTTTTTGAAAGGGGGGGAAAGTTTTTATTGCTTTATGGATTTAGAAAAAAAAAGGGGGTAGAGGGATGGGGGAATTTTTTAAAAGGAATAAAATTTTTGTTATTAACCCCTTTTGGTTTTTAGAAAAAGCTTAGAGGTTTTTGAAGTAATATTCCCCTAATTTGGGGTTAAAAAATGGGAGAAATGGGGGCCCAAATTTAAGGGGGTTGGGGTTTTTTACCACATAAAAAAATAGGAAAATTCGTAATGGGAAAAAAAAAATTATTGTTTTTTTAAAAAACCCCTTTGAGGGTATTTTTTTTTTGGTGTATTTGGTTTATGGGCTTTGGGAAAAATGGCTTTAAAAAATGGTTATTTTCATTACTTTTCAAAAACTTTGAAAAGGGGGAAAAAAAAACGGAAATGTTCGTTTTTTCCCAATTTTTTTTCAAGAGTAAAAAAAACCAACACCCCCAATGTCCAATACACTCAACTGGGGTCTAATATTCTTTCACTAGGGGCACTGATTTTATTTATCCATTTTTACAAAAAAGCAGTCGTCGAAATAAAAAGTAAATTTTGTTTTTTTTTTGTATAAATAAAAATCAAAATAGAAAGCAATAATAATAAAAAGGGGGGTTTAGAGATGTGATTTAACCCGAACAGAGCATGTTTTTTTTTGTGCCACGAATTTCACCTTGTTTTTTCTGGACCCTATTTTAAATTTTGGAATTTTTTTTAATTTTGCTAAAATTTTGGCCAAATTGCCAATTTCTGACCACCATATTGGGTAGCCCAAATTAGAAAAATGGGGGGTTTTTGTACTCAGCTGATAGAAAAAAATGGATTTCCCTAAAAAAATGCTTTTGATTTGGGCCCAACTGGAACAAGGAAATTTGGGCTGAAAATTGGGCTAAAAGTCGGCGAAATCGCCGAAAACGCATATTCGCCGAGCCCGCAAATTTTCGGGGGAAAGCAAAATTTTCCCACGAGTTTTTCGACCAAATTTCGAATTTTTGGTGCATTACCATCGGGAAAAGATTCTCTTCATTTCATAAAAAAAATAATTTTTTTTTTTTTTAAAAAATTTGAGCGACATAGAATACAGTTTTTGAAGGGGCCCCGAAAAATCAAAGGGGTTTAAAAACTGTAAAGGTTTTTTAAGGGAAATAGGGTCAGGTTTTGGGTGGGGTAGAAGAGAGGGAGAACTTTTCCCCCAGTAAAAGTAGGTCTTTTAAAAGGGGTGTGTAATTCAAACCAAAGTGTTCAACCCCTGAAAGGGTTTTTCAAGTATGTAAATATAAATATTAACCTTTTAAATAAAAATTTTTTTATTGCTTTTTTTTTTACGATAATACTAAAATCGAAATGTAAAATTTCTTTAAAATTGTTTTTTTTGACTTTGCTTCCTTTGGTTAGGGAAAAAGGGTGTTTAAAATATTTTGTGCTCAGTTTTAAGTCTTGGGAAATTTTCTAACACTGTAATTAATTTCCCTTTTGGCTCGTTTGAACCCCCCGGGTTTCTGTTTTTTGAGCTGCAAACTGTCCACGGACTAAACACGGGGTCGAAGGGGGGGGGGGTCCTCACCTCGCCTGAAGAAAACCAGTTTTGGGCCCAGAAATCCTTGGTGGGTTTGGGCAATTTTCTGTCCCCATTATTCTTTTTTAGTTTTTGTAGAACTCGTCAAAAAGAACATTGTAAGACTTAGTGATTTTTGACGTTACTGAGGTTGTGTGTCGCAAGACACTCTAGCAACTCAGGCCGAGCTGTAGCTCTGACCAACTTGTACTGGTATCTTGTTTACACGGTCGGGGATTTCTTATGCTAAACTTAGATTCAGTATATGGGAGTTGTGTGATTTTTTGTGGAGGACTCTGATGGTCCCTACTTAGTGTCTTATATTATCTCCTTGTTCCGTTTCTGGTCGCATTGCTTTTTAAATATTGCTTTTGGGGGTTAGCATTCTTTTATTGTTCAAGCAACGTTCATTGCCATTGGTCAAAATTGTTGGTGGACTTTTCACCCCTTTTTTAAGTCTATGAGTCGTGAGACATAGCAACACTTAGAGCATTTTACCACATACACCCCAACTTCTTTACTTTTTGTAATATCTTTTTAAATTTTTTATTACCAGACGGACTTAAGAATTATAAAGGTGTTGTCTTTCAGCACAAAAACTGAAACGAGAGAATATATTATTTAAATTACTGTGTTAATTTTTAAATTTAATTTATAATATACCTCTAGACTTAAAAAATTTATTAAATTTTTAATTTCTCTATTTTAGTACCTACCATTTAACTTGAAGCACTTTTGAATCATACGAATTCTAATGGATAATTGACAAGGATACGACTACTTGTTAAAAAAACCCAGAAACACGGGATGCTAGAAGGGCAGTCCTTTCTAGATTCACGGAGACTCTAAGTTTTTAAATTGCTTTTTTTGTAACACCAGGTTGTTTAATATATTTATAGTGGGATTGTAAAGGAAGAAAATTTGCTGGGGTTTCGGGGAGGGGGGTTTTAAATTATGGAATCAAATTCAAAATGGGAATTGACACATTTTACTTTTTGCTGTGACACTGTGTTTAAGGGAGATTCTAAAAAAAAATTGAAAAGGGTTTTTGTGGAGAGTTTGGAATGGTGTAAAGGTAAAATTGAAAGTAAAACATAGAAAAGAGTAAGGGATAAAGGTATAAAAGATTTAGATAAAAAAAATTGGTACAAATTGGGGGGAGGAGATGGAAAAGTGAATGTTTTTCAGATACTTGGGATTTGACAGTCGGCGGATGGTTTTATGAAGGATAGGTTAAC